ATGAGTGAGAGTATAGAAATATAGAAATACATAATGAACAAGAATCTGAAGAGAGTGAATGAAATATCCTCAAATAAATAAAAAGAAATAGAAAAATCAACCTCTACTGAAACTTAATTTATTAATTTTTAATTATTTAATTTCACAATTAAAATAAATTTTGCTATTCAGAAATTATACTCAAATTTAATATAAAACTATAAAATTTACTTTATGTCACCAGGAGATAATCCAGTACGAGACACCCCTGTGTCTCAAGGTAACAAAACTACTCAAGAATTATTCTTTGAAAATATAGAGCATATTGCTCCAGCACCATTACCACCATGTTGTACTAGTCCACCTGCCCAACCTCCACCTCCAGTACCATTACAATAACTAAATTAATTCTTTCACATTAATTGTAACAGTTAATATTTTCTTAATAAAACAAAACAGACTGTAGTTTATATTTATAACCAATAAAGAATTATTGATTAAATTAAAAGTATCCTAAAAAAGAACCTTTATATGTCAAATTTAAAAAGCTTTACATAACCTGAAAATGCATGTAAATAATGTAATTGACACTATACAATATTCTATATGTTAATGTATGAATTTAAGATAAAACTAATCTTCTATTTTTTTAAGAAGAGTTTTTTGAACTTTACCAACGTAACAATTGACTGTAATGATTTTTTAAGATAGTAACACACATCTATATATTTTGTAACTCTCTTATCTTTCAATGGTGTTGAATGGAAGAAGAATGGGTAATTGCAAAAATACAAAAATAACTATTATTTAAATTGAGACTTTCTCTTTTCATTTACTTACTCCTTAATATGAAACTCCTCCAAAAAAGAATAACAATTAAATTTACCTTACAACAGATCTTCATAATAAGTGCTAATAAAGATGTTTAATATGAAACTTTCTATAGACACTTCTGAAAATTCTTCTTTTCTTTAGTAAAGAGAATTTATTCCTTTTTATTGACGCTTTATTTAGTCTGAAAAACAACCACAACACCTTCTTTAATAAAGCTTATGATTATCAGATAAATTGGTTACAACCAAAGGTATTAATAACATTTTCATTTAATAATTGACTATGAAAAAAAAATGATATTTGATTGATTTTAGCTAGTCAAATTACTATGAAATAAGAAATACGTTTATAGTTCAATACGACTTGACAGTTATAATCAAAACATCATTTCAAACAATGTTACTTTTGAATTTTAACGTAATTTAA